AAACGAAGTATGTGATTTACTCACAGTTAACTTAGAAGAATACTAAAAGTCTTTATCTGTTTTGAATAAAGACTATCATAAGGTCGGAAAATGGATTTTGAATTATATCAAATGAAGGTAATGGAGTTTTCTGAAGTTGTAATCTTCTTGGAAAAATAAAAATTTTGGTGAATACGGATGAAGTAGTGATTTATAACTATATTTAAAGAAAAGTAAATGTTATACAGATTTCTTTGTATGATTTGTCTCACCACCTCTCTTTGGAATTTTTTTGTGTTTGATGATATTATACCAAAAGTTTTTATGTTATTGTTTCCTAAATATTATAGCATTTTTGGGCTCCAGATATATAAGTTCTTAATTATAGTTAGGGATGATATTTTGTATTCAAATTTATTTCATCTGACATATTTGAATCTGATCTATTATGATCCAATTAGATTTGGGTTTACTCTTTCAAAACCTATCTAGATCGGATTCATTATATATATATATATATATATTAATCATTAATATATTTATGTTAATAAATATACTACATTTTGGTAATACATATAATTATGTTCATATAATAAATATAATTTATATATATTAATATAGATTTTTATTTATTTTAATATAAATATTTATTTATTGATTTATTAATTCAACAGATGATTATATCGTAAGATAATTCACAAACTCAATATAATTGAAAAAAATTAAAACACACTATGAAGTCAAGACAAATTCAAATTTTCTCTTTACATATATGAGACGAGTTCTAATTTAGTAAACCCACTTTAGTATCATCCCTGATTATGGTGTTACTTTTTATGTAAAAAAATAAGTAAGAATAATTTTCTAAAAAATTGGAAAGAATAAAGTATTAATTGAAGTATTAACAAAATCTTATAATTATAACTTCACCTTTAAAAGAAATTACAATTAGAAAGTAATTTTTATAGACAAAGTATCATACACTTTAGAATTAAATATATATATATATATGTGTTTAATTCACCTTAATGCTAGTAATAGCTGGCAGTCAATCGTTTACTCCCATTTTTCAAGCCAGTTCTTACATCATCAGTTTTTTACTCTCGAAATTTGGTCGACTCAAATTAATGTTTAATCAATCTTCTTCGCTTATAACATGTTTCATCTACTTTTTTTTTTTTTTTA